TTTTTTTTTTTTTTTTTTAAGAACTCAATACCTGCTAAAATTACTTGTCAGAAGCATCGTATACTTGGTTCTTTCCGTAATTCCCATTAAGGAATATTTTTAGAAATGAGAGTGAGGTCGGTGTGCATGGAGGGGGTAGGGTGCAGGGAGGGAGGTAGAGAGACAGAAAAGGAGGCAGACCTTTATGAAAAGATTTCTAAGATATATGGATTTAAAAAACGGAAAAAAACAAGGTGCAAGAAAATGGGCAGAGCATACAATCAATGTCTGTAAGAGGAGAAGGAGAACATACAACCGTAACAGCGTAAAAATGATCTGGAAGGATAAACAGGAACTAACAACTGATTGGCTGGTAGTGGAGGAACATCGAGTGGATGGGCTCAAAAAACGACAAATGTTTTTTGCTGCATATATGCGTATACTTTTTGGTACCTGAACTATGTGAATACATTACTTACTCAAAAATTTTAATTCAACATACGTCTCCATCCAAAACAATCTACTCAGGAAGGAGTCGCTAACTCCAATTCTGGTTCTGCGATCTTGGCCAGGTCACTTACTAAGTGCCCTTCTTCTGCTAGTTCACCCGTAATAAGGGAATAACCTTGACAACTTCCTGGCCTAAAACTTCTACAATTTATCTAACGGTCCATAGGATTTCATTCCGATATAGCCTGGCCTATAAAAAAAAATAAATAAGTAAGACGAGTCAGAGAAACTCCTTTTCATAATGTCCCTAATTTTCAAGGCAGCTTTTAAAAGCTGGGTTTAAGCAAATTAGCACGTTGCTAGTACAAGCCCTAGGGGCTAAATGCTCAGAACGCAAATCTTTAAAGCTGCAGGCATAAAGTCAGAGGTCTAGCTTTACGCATGCAAAGGAGCCAAAAGCAATTAAGAGAAAATACTTTCTGACATGAGTTTAGGTTACTGAGAACTACTCAGAGTCCAGCTGGCTTTCAGACATCCGGCAAATAACATGAACAATTCCTCTCAAAGCGGTAAGAAGCAGCCTACAGGGTCTCATTAACATCTCCGCTGTAACTGCAGTAGCTGGGTTAAAGCACAGAAGACCTACCTAATTATTGTAACGAAGCAGGAGATAAATATTTAGTGAGGCTATCAAATGATAATGGAAACAGAATACGAAAGGTTACATGCGAGTCACCGTAGGACAAAACACGGATGAGGGACAGAGACCACCCGGTACTGAATCACGCTGACAAAGTGAACCTCACCTCTTACATAATAGCGCACACCAGCTCTGAAACAACTCCTCCTCGAGATGAGAATCCAATCAAAGTATTTTCCGTTAATAGAACACGAGTGCATAGTAATAACTTAGCTCCATTAAGAAAAATATAACATTTATAGAAATCGTATGCATTATTTCCAGGTGACATTTGAGTCTATTTACCCCAGCCAGAACGCCTCCATCTTTAGGAGAAAAAAGGGTGAAAAATATGCATTCTTTTGGCGTTCTTCGTGAATATTCACGAGCCTTTAGCACTGTGCTATTCAACTGTGAAGTTTGGTCAAGTCAGCAAGCCTATATACAAGGACATACAGACAGTATGTTTAAGTGGTTCATTACACTGTTTCTATTTAAATAATATGATTTCCTTTCCCTGCTAGCCTCAGCCGCTTTCTAAAAGTAAAGTATTACCCACATCACCAAAAAACCTACCCTGAATGAAAAACATAACTTTAAAATAGTTTTGCCTTCGAGTAAGAAATGGGAAAAAAAAAGGGGGGGGGGGGAACCTGGCTACTGCAATTTGAAAGAAAAACAAAAATACGTCATATCCGTTAATTACGAATATAAAGTACCCACAACGGTAAGCCCGTGAAGATTTACAGATCAAACTGTGAATTAAGGATTATCCACCAACACACTTTGACTCTACTTTTTCCTTGAAACAGGAAAAGTGAAACTGAAGATGGAAAAAGAGCAGCTCCCTCAAAAGCTTTGCCTAACATAAAAACTGTGTCCCCAACAGACCCGGCAATGGCTCGAGCTGGACACTCGCCCGCTCCCGCTCAGCCGTGCAGAGGCCTCCACCCCTGCAAACTCCCGAGGCACGGGCCTCTCCACCTCATGGCCAGGGTGAAGGAGCTTCTGGAGAGGGCGGACCTCTTCCGTTAAAACGGTGTTATTAGGAGATACAATAAAGAGAAAAAAATACACAGTGTATCGAAGTATTTACAAAAACAGCCACGTCTGGGGAGCTACTGCTTCAGGGACAGAGGACTTGCGGTTGGGCTGAAGGAGATGGTCTGATGCTCTTCGTGCCTCATTATGAATGAAATGCCACTTACTGAACCGTATGCTTAGAATTGGCCAACACGGCCGATCGCAGTGAAGGATGTCTGAGCGTCACAAAAACCATCACATACATGCACACGCCCACTCACGCGTGTGCCCCCAGCACCCCCAAGCACCCAGAGCGGTCAGTCACCCCCCTGCATCTAGCTCCCCTGCGTCCCGCCCTCCAAGTGAGGACCACCACCCACTCAGCCCCATCACTCCCTCGCTGGTCTTTCTAGCTCTGCACCGAGCAATCTGCGGTTGAGGCGGATCGTTTTTAACCCTTCTCACATAAAAGGAACTCTCCTGCGTATGCTCTCCGGGCTCGCCGTATCTGTTCCACGACACGGGTGCGGCTCGCTTGCTGCTACGGCCGTGTTCTATCCACCGCGTGCCTACTGGCCGCACTGGCTTGTCCGTCCTACTGTCCAGGCTGCTTCCGGTTCTAGCTGGCATCGGTGGGGCGGCAAACGTCCCGGCACCCGGACGTGGGGACGGCACTGGCAGGCCACGGGCTATACTTGTCATCTGATTGTATCAGGAAGTGCCAAGTTCTCTAAAGGACGACTCTGACTCTTGGTCTCTACCAATGCTTCATCTGCCTGTACGGGTAACAGAAAGACAGGCTTCTTTCATCGTCTCAACGGCCTTATCTTCCTTCCTTCCTCATTTATTTGGGTTTGCCCCATGCTTCTTTTTTATAGGTAACACTTTCTTAACATGTAACTTGACTCAATAAATTATCTACGAACTTACTGTCCAACTTCAGAACAGTACCGAAACCCTGAGTCTAATTATCTGTTCCTTCTCCAACGCAGCCAAGTATTTTCTTGCCCAGAAGTAAGCAGGCTCCGCGCTGTCAGCACAGACATGAGACATGTCGAGCCTGACGTGGGGCTCGATCTCACGAACCACGAGCTCACGACATGAGCCGAAATCAAGAGTTGGACACTTAACCTGAGACACCCAGGCACCGCTTCATCCTGCCTTCTAATTTCACCACCCGCGACCGTGGCTTAAGAATACACGGCCTGCTTATATTTGAGTTTTATAAAAAAGCACCACATTCTTGATAAACTTCAGCCCTTATTTCCACCAGTAGGTTCCCGAGATTCATGCTGGGACCGCGTGAGCCAGTAGTCCCCTCCTCCTCAGTGCCCTGCGCCATCTGTAAGGACCACGCTGCGAAAGCCCTAACTCTTCTCTGACGGAACTCACGTTAGGCTAGTAAGTGGTGCTGTGAACACTCCCGTAAACACCTCCTGGTATAAACCTACTGGGTAGGCACAGGGGAAGTTCTGGTAAGTCCACAAGAGAATGGTGAACAAACAAAATGATGGTACTGAGGGACACGAGCGGTATGAATTCCTAATGATTCATCCCTCTCTTTGACCTGATACCATCAGATGTAACACTGACTCATCCTGAGCTCCCAATTCACTTTTCCTTAGAACCCACAGCACCGAAGAAGAATCCGAGGCAGTATTTATTCTTTCCCTCCTTCACCCATTCCCTATTTCGGGCCAGGGCACAAAGATGAGTCAGACAGGAGCCTGCCCTTAGAGAACTAAGCGTAGCATAGAATAGGACGGAGTGCTTTACGAATCATTTCCTCTGATTACAAGACAAATCTACATACACTTTAGAAAATCCAGAGAGCACGGAAGAAACGAGAAAGTAAAAATCGTACAGCATCTCATCACCATGATGTAACTTCTACCACGTGAGTACATTTACTCCCTTCCGGTCTTTACCAGTGAGTTCCGCCCAGGGCCATCCACTGCCACTCGGGTGCCCATGCCACACTTTCTCAGCCTGCAACAATCCTCTCTCGCTCCACTCACACCACTGTTTCCTGTTCCTCTGGGGGAACGAGAGCCAGGCCCACATGCTCCCACCGCACCTGTCTGCCAACTAGCATCCGCGTACACACGTCTGCTTCCCACCCACAATGGCAGAGGGCCCGGGCACCAGCCTCCACCTGTCACACGCTCACAGACATGACTGCAGCGTGTGACTGTGCTCTCACCTTCCGTTTTCCCCTTCTCCAAATCCTTCTCATCGGCATCTGGTAACATCTCCCATTTGGGGAGGAGGGTGGGGGAAGCAGGTACGTAAGGTCCCTCTCGAATGCCCGTATTTGACCAACCAGCACCCGATGACCCCCGTGCCTGCAGACGGTCTTCTCACTTGCTTCGGGGACCCCGCGCTCACTTGCGTGGTCCCCTCTTCCTCACTGGCCTTGGCTGCTTCATTTTCATTTCTCCCGCCCTTCACGCTCCCTCACACTGACGCCCCCACTCCACAGGCCCTTTGTCCTCACTGAGGCCTACAGTCCGTGGCTCTAGCATTTCCTCGCTCTCTAGAACTCCCTCCAGGCCACCTTCTCTGTTTCTCCAAGACCTTTTCTCTTCTCTACGCGTATTCCTTCGATCAGCTCATCAGCTTTGTGGCTTTTTGAATGCCGTCTGTGCCCAGAGGACTGTCAAATTTATATCTCCAACGTGAACTTCCCTCGCAGAGGCCAGTCCCTGAATCCATCTGCTTCCATGACACCCCTACTTAGAAGCCACACAGACCTCAAGCTCAGCGCGTCCCAATGGGACTCTGGACCCTCTGGCCTCCCTCCCGCCTCCAGGCTCTTCCACACTCCAGAGGAGGGCTCCCTTCCACTTACTCTGGCCATGGACCTCGGATTCATGCTAAACCCCCTTCTTGCATTCTCCACGTACAATTTGTCAGAAGGTTCTAGAACCTGGCCACCTCCACCAGTGTCACTGCTACGGTCCTGGTCCCGGGTACCACGACCTCTCACACCTGGATTACTGCAACTGTCTCCCAATTATCCCCTGTATCCTCCCATGGCCGCCTTTGGCCTGTTCTCTGTCTCCGTCACAGTGACCGTCTCACCATGCCAGTCCTCTCGGCGAATCCCAAGTTTCTTGTCATGGTTACACTGCAGACAAAGCGCACAAGGCCGGGCATAACCTGGACTCGGCTCCTCCCCCGAGAGGCTCCCACCTCCCCCTTTCCTGCCTCCAGGCCTCTGTTCCCGCCTATCTCTCTCCATGCATGTCAAACACTGAAACTGCGTTAAACAAAGGCGAATTTAAGGCTTTAGATTTAAAGCTAAACAAACAGATAGGCTGTTTCTAAAATCACCCAGAAAAAGTAATCTCATCTGATATTGCTGTCCATCTGTCCATTCACAATCTCATTTTAGAAACACACACACACACACACACACACACACAACTGTCCCAAATCCCTAAAAGCACTACCTAGATATGTTGCTTATTTCAGTTTTAGGAGAACTTGGAAATATTCCAGGGAAGGGGAGGGGGCACAGACACCGAGTAAACAAGAGCTTTCATCCCCAGAGTTTCTGATTTTTATTCTCCCACAACTGTGAAAAATGTTTCCTCCAAACTTTTTCTGCTTTTCTTTAAGTATAACAAGAATAATTTAAAGACATCATATTAACGTAATGAGCATATAAACCACAGACTGTTTCCTTAGTAAACTTCTTGGGGGTACCTGATACAAAGATCACCTCCGTTTCTGCAGGGAAATCACAGTGCTGACTATGGGCACTCAGTGGCAGACTTCTCCTTTAACGGCAGCTCACTCTGCTTCCCTATTTTAATCCTGATGTCGCTGGTAAGTTTTTAAAGTGAACCAACAGGGTGTCCGGGTGGCGCAGTCGGTTAAGAGTTAAGCCGACTCTTGATCCTGGCTCAGGGCATGATTTTGCTGTTCCTGCTACTGAACCCTACATCGGGCTCTGCACTGACAGGGTGGGGCCTGCTTGGGTTCCTCTCTCTCTGCCCTTGCCCCGTGAGCACACACTCGCTCTCTCGCAAAATAAGTAAATATTAAAAAAATATAAAATGAACTTACAATTGGATACTCATGATTAATTCTGCATGTGCGCAGACCTTCCCCGGTGAGCATTATTCTTTGTGTAGCATCTATTCTCACAGATTCGTTATTTCGCATAACCAATATAATTTTTCATGTTCGTTCTCCTCTCCACATCGCTGGTCACCCTAGTTCCTCAATCTAACTTTTTTAAGGGGAAGGGGAAGTCTTCCTTTTAATAGCCAGGCTCAAACTACTCTTTGAACTACTTCGTTTATTGGGACAGAATCGAATGAAGACAAAACAAAGTGTGCGTACTCCTTCTTTAAACCGCCAGCCCCAGAATTCTTGAACAGAGAGAATAATTCAGTCTAAAGAGCTCATTAAAAAAAAAAAAAAAAAAAAAAAAAAAAAAAAAAGGAAGGGGACCCATGTATATAACCACTATTCTAAGATTTTTTTTATGTTAATGGCGGTTTGATTTTGTTATCAAAAGCAATTTCTGTTAATTCTAAAATGCTTTCCTCATACAACTGGGATTGTTCCTAAATGTGCCCCATGAAAAATACTGACATAAAGACTGCCACATTAACCGAGGAGCGACGCTATGTAAGGATACAGCCATGTAACACGGGAAGAGCAAACCGGTGGACCTGAAATGAAGAGACACATTACATTTAGGAATAAATATGCTTTCAAAATAAACAAAAAGGTGCTACATAAAATGTTTTCATACTATACAAAAATATTTGCACGTCACGGAGGTAACATGCAAATACAACCAGGTATGAAGCTTATGGATAACTTTCTATTTAAAGAAAAAAAAAATGTCTCTAATGTCCCCTTGTCTTTTCAATTAAAAACGTTTAAGAACGTGATACGATCATTTGGGCCTAAGTGTTCAGATTCTGGAACGCTAAAAAGCTACGTGAAGCTGCAGGAGGTTTATCCCCCTTCCCATCCTCTTTGCCGAGGACGACTCGACTGCTCCAGGGAAAAGAGACACCCCTGCTAACTGCTGGAAGCTCATACACCTCTTCCAAAAAAGCACAGCAAATGCCAAGAAGTAAAGACACTGGGCAAACCTATGTACCCAGATTCAATATGCTACACTTCCTGGCTGGGCTTCCCTGTTCACGCCGCATGTGCACGAACGAAGGACAGAGGAAGGTGACATCTGTGCGTGTCTCTCCTGGATGACTGAAGACCAACGCAGAGCTCTCACTTTCCCAGGGACCTCCTGGGGCCCCTCACTTCCCATCACTCACCCACCGAGGCCCATTCTCTCTCTCTCTCCCTTACTCAAAGAAAGCAATGCATTTTTATGCAAGTATTTTTTCTCTTTTAAGGCTTCTGTAGGAGATCAGAGTAAATTAACTGGGCTTCTTCAAACCAGAAAATGGGAGGGGGTAGACCTGTCAAAGGTTGTAAGTTATAAAGTGAGTTCAATGAGAAGTGTTTACTAAAATCCCTGGTGATTAGGCAGCCATTTTGTAATACGTATTCAATTAAACTCGGACTACGACAAGCGAGTTTTATCTAGCAGACCTCACCTCTGGTTGCGCAGAAAGTTCTCTTAGAAGATGACCATTCCATACAAACCGCTGATCTGCCTGAGAGAGAAGATTTAAAATTAATAAAATGTCTCCTGCCAACCTGAGTTTCTACGGAGAGAAAACTATGAAACGATCTATGTCTCCACCTGGTGGCTACACGCAGGTCTCGCTGACCGGCCAAGCAGAACCTCCCCTCAAATCCGCCCCTCCTCGGGGTATCTCAGGTCTCCCCAGCTCAGGCCAGTGATGGGGGCCCAGAGAAAAACCCATGCGTCCTCTGGAATCTGTCCTTCTCTTACCTGTAGTCAACTGCCAAGTCCTCCTAAATCTTCCAAATCCACCCTATCTCCTGCATCTCTGCTCCCACTGCCCTGGCCAACACTTGACTCCAATCTAACTACCACAACAGCCTCCCCCACCCCACCTCCAGCCTCAGCCTTGCCCTCCCCACCCTTCCCTCCGCATGCTGCCGGGCAGGAGCTCTCGAATGGGACCCGTCTCCTGGCTGCTGGGAATCCTTCAGTGGCTCGCTGTCCCCTGAAGAACAAACCTCTGCCAGCCCCTCCGTCAACTCCCTGAGGGCATCTCTGGCCACTCTTTCAAACGATAAATGCAGAAGAGGTCCCCTCAGCAACACAGTGGATTAACTGATTCTCTCCATTCTCTTTACAAAACACAGCGCTGGCACCGTCCCTGCCCCTCTACAACCGAGTCCCCGGGAGGTGGGGGGTGGGGGTGGGGGGCTCTGGCAGTCAGCCGCACCCAGCCTCGCTCAGCACACACCTCCCAGGTTCGGGCGTATGCCCCAATCGCCGTGTGCCCGCTGTACCTGTTATTCATCGTTACAAAATTAACTAAATGTCTTACACATCAAGGAAACAGGGCTTAAGAACAAACCATTTTTTACATATGTGCGGCTGAACGATATGGAATTGAAAGTGGTAAAAGGCAAGCTGCTAAAATAATGCTCCTGTTGGATCCAGAGGAGCGGCAGGTAGAGAAACAGAATCTACAGGATTCTGCCAACAGATCACTCTGCGGGTGTCCGAACCTTTACAGACTCAAACTGGAAAGTGTTAAGGATGTACTTTACGCGGGAATCGAGGAACCCCAAATGAAGAAAAGCTTATAGTCCTATATGAAAAAATCGACCAGGGTAAAATTTTATGTTTTAAGTCAGATACAATGTTTAAGGTCTATATGGCTCATTTGTCACTTTCACGATTTCCTGCGTTGACTTTAACGGAGTCTGAGTAGCTGACAAGTTCACGTCCCAACACGTGAGATGGCTTCCCTCTCAGTTTCGCAACAGTACCGCCACCATCCCCACCTGGAACCCTCCCTCTCCCGCTGTCCCCTGACCAACAAGGCCTATTCAGCAATTCAGCGTCCGCTCAAGAGTACCTTCCTTTGCAGTCATCCCCAACTCTGGGGGAGTAGACCCAGGGAGACCCATGTTTCCCTCGGAAGCCACCCCATTTTGGTACATGGCTCCATGACAGCTATGGTTCCTTGTTCTGTGACTGCCCGGACTTGTGCTTCCCCAGGAGACTGCAGGCTCCCACGAGGGGCCGTCCTTTTCCCTCTGTGTCCCCACTGGCTGGTACAGTGCCTGGTACACAGCAGGCATCCCAAGACATTTGATAAACAGATGGAGAACGTGACAGAGCAACTCCTTCTAAAAGCAACAGCCTCTTGGTTACAAGCCAAATTTCACGATTGCTTAGCTTACATCTAAATTTGCATCCAAGCCTACATACGATTTTACTAGATTAGAATATAATATCTTAGAAGAGCCAACTAAAATACTGATTTAGGCTGAACTATATGAAATTCTCATTTTTATTGGTCAAAAATGATCAATTACTGGCAATTTCATATGGTCTAACCTAACAGGTAAGACAGCAACCTTTTAAATTCTGTCTGCTCTCTAAACACATCTAAGGTTCATTAATAAAAAAAAATATCAAGGCAGCAATTATCCCGATTCCTGAAGAGCAGGAATTTTAGGTTGATATCATTTGAGACCTACTTTTAAAGATACACTCAGGTTAAAAAATTAAAGGCAGGGCGCGCGTGGGTGGCTTAGTCGGTTAAGTGTCCGACTCTTGATTCTGGCTCAGGTCATGATCTCATGATTCGTGGGATCAAGCCCCACGTCAGGCTCTATGTGGAAAGCACAGAGCCTGCTTGGGATTCTCTCTCTCTCTCTCTCTCTCTCTCTGTCCCCCCCATGTACGCACTCTCAAAACAAACATTAAAAAAGAATTTTCTTTAAAAAGGCAAAACAACAAAAAAACTCCACCTTAAAAAGGTACTTTTCAAGCTCTTAAATCAGTAAGTTCTTACTTTTCTAGTTGCAAAAACTGCAAATGACACCACTGCAGCAAGAACGCTGCCTGCTGGAACATTAACTTTATAATATAATTATGTTGTTAACATGAACAACCGTTCTACTACCCAACACTGAGAGCCAGGAAACTACCAACAGGTCTGTTTAGACTGGATTTCTGAATACTTTACATCGGTGGTTCTCAATCCTGTCTGTGTAACACGTTCAGATTCTGGGAGCCCGACTTTGCTATTGTGGTGGATACTGAGAACGTGGTATGTTTTCAACCCCACACAGGATCCTGACACAGCCAGGATTAAGAAAAATCGATAAACATTTTTACGGATGAAATAGAGATATGCCCCTTAAAAAAAAACAAAACACCCCAAGGGGCACCTGAGTGACTCAGCTGGTTGAGCATCTGGCTCTTGATTTCGGCTCAGGCCACGATCCCAGGATCATGGGACCTAGCCCTCTGTGGGGCTCTGCACTGTTAGCTGGAAGTTTCTCTCTCTCTCTCTCTCTCTCTCTCTCTCTCTCTGCCCCTCCCCCACTTGTGCTTTCTCTCTCTCAAACATTTTTTAAAAAAGAAAAGAACTCAAAAAATAAAAATAAACACATTTTTAAGAACCCTATAATAAGTAAAAATAACTGAAGACAAAGCTTACCCTTTCCAAAAGACTCATTTCTTGGAATTCTGGGCTCGTGTTGGACAGCCGCTGCAAGGTGTGGGTCAAATCATATGTCGTTGAGAAGTAAAACCCATCCACATTCAGGACATGGTTTAACATCGCTAGGAAAGTTTTATTATCTTGTAACTATAAACAAAAGGGAGAAATATATCAGTCTGTCTCATACTTGAAAAGGAATCTGCCAGAAACATTAAGTGCTGCCCTGTTAACCGTCACCGGCATAAGGACTGGCAGGGAGGATGATGCTCACTGTCCCCCAGGACTGAGGCCACTTCCTGACACGGAGGAAGTTCGATAAACAGCGTAGGGTGTTGTTACCTTAGATGACTGGGTCGAACTCCTGCCCTCGGTATCCTTCAGTCTTTACTCTAAAGGGCACAAGTTATTTTAACACAACACCACCGCCTCAGGTTATGACCTCCTGCCAGACTTTTTGGAGACAGATTCTTTCCTCTTTGTAACACCCCTGCTGGGCTAGTGTTATTACCCTCATGTGACAAATGAAAAACATAAACTCACGAGAGGCCAAATAACACAGTGAGTAAATAACAAGGGAATAATACCGTCCTCGTTCCTATGAAACTTCACTGGGCTGGAAGGGAATTAAATTCTTTTTTTTAATGCAAAGATTTGAAAAAGAAATGTCCAGTAAAAATAATACTGATCTTTACTTTCTGATAATTATTTTAGCTGGCTTTCCCAATGAATATCCAGATTGACATTTATTTTTATCCTTGTTTTACAAGACAACTGATGTTTGGTAATGTTTGAGGACTATCAAACGATTAACACGTTAATGTGCATGTTACAAACCTACATACTACAGAATTCTTAATTTGGGCTCACACCTTTTTTTTTTTTTTTTTTTTAAGAACAAAAGTTATAAGCCAATTATATGCAGTGAACAATGTGAAAATTAGTTGCACAGCCTGACAACCAAGTACAACAACAAGAAAAATTTGCTCAAGTCAATGGTATTGGGCTATTAAATAAATACAACCATTTTTATTGCCTTAAATACCATGCCTTACAGGAAACGAATATGTCAATATATATTAACATATTTAGTAAAAAAGAAATTTTAAGTTTACAGTATAGGAGCATATCCTACAGTCTGATTTAGTCAACAAGGCAGCAAGTGCTGGGGCTCATTTTTAGAAACGTCTACTATGGGAGAGTTACGTGTTACATGTTTTAGGATCCTACGTTTTCTTTTGGAAGCCAATATTTTTGTAATCTTGGGACTAAAAATACAAGTTAAAATTTTGAAAAAGTAAACACTGTAAATAAAATCACAGTTAGAAGACAAACACTCAGTAAGTGTCAATCTCTAAACATAGGACTGACTTAAAAAAGTAATTTTCAAGAACTAGAACAGGGTGATGACACTCATGTAATTTTTAAAAAAGACTTCAAGCAAATATACTGTTTGAATATGAATATAGGCGATCTTGATTTTGCATGAAAGGGTGGGACTGTGAATGACCATGGGATCTTAAAGTTGATCACCTTAACCATCTTAATAATCAATGAGAAAAATTGTAATTGTGATATGAGCTTTAAAAATTTTTTACCAAAACATTAAAAACTCTCTTTCTCTAAGATATAAATGTACAGGGAAATGAAAAAGTATTGAAGCTAATATTTATTTAGTGCACTGTAATTTATTTATTTTTAACTTTTTAGTTTTACTTCCAGTAGAGTGGACACACAATGTTACAGTAATTTCAGGGCCACAACACGGTGAGTTAGTTACCCTGTAACTTAAAACATTAGAAACGATGCAAATTAAAAATGTTTTCCTTCTTGTAAACCATTGATCAAGAGTAGCTTGAAGGGTGCTTACCTTCTTCGCATAAACCTATGACGCAGAGTCTCTCCTCTACCTCTGGTCAACCGTCCTACACCTTTCCAAGTCTGAGCCCGCTCCCCACGCCTCATCCCTGCGCTCCCAACGTCACGGGACTCCCGGAGAGTCCCTTCCGGGTGAAGTTTCCCGCCGGCATCGCTTCCTCTGGGTCATCCTCAACCTTTTCTTCACAACAGCTTCCCCGTGAACATGGAGAAGTTCACGTTCACGAAGACTTCTGGCCGAGCGCCGAGAGCCTCCTCAAGGGCCGGCGTTCCCAGGGTCAGCCACATCCTCTCCACCCCTCTTATGTTCAACCCGAAATTCACCTCTAGAGTTGCCGCTTTTTGTTTCTTTGCACTCCCATCTTTGCCGGACGAATCTGTTCGTTCATATACCAAGGTAACTGAAATGTATACCGCGCTGTTGGGGGGCTGTATTCCTACGCCACAGTAACTGCAATCTGGGCATACTGGCATCGCGCAAAGGGGGGCTGTTTGGGCATATACACACACACTTCTATTCACGTGTGTTAAAAGCAAAGAAAGCTTTCTCCGGACAAAGAGGGAATGAAATGGAGTGAGCGGAACTTCAAAGGCATCTCATATTTTATTTCTTGGCAGAAAGGATATGAAGTTAAATCTGGCTGTTGGACAGAGATTCGTTTTCTGTTTGTCCTTTTCTATACATATGAAAGGTTATAATTTAAGAGCTTGAGTCAGTTAAAAAACATACAAAGGACTTTTAAAAAGTACATTTTATGGCTAGGTATAAAGGTATGTAGGGAAACCTCGCTCTCTGCACTGCTTAAATAATTAGGCTTAACAGAAATCCAAAATCCATCCAAATCCTTTGTTCTGCCCTCCCCTCCCCTCCCTCCCCCCGCCGGTTCTGCAATTAGTAGGTGAGTCCAGTTCTTACCTGAATATCAGTTAAGTGCAACATTGTCTTCTTATAAGAAAGGACGTCAAAATCTGTTGCTTTCCAGATTACATGATTGAAAAATTCACCTATTTTTGTCTTTTTGGTAATGACAATTAGATAATTACCTGCAAAAAGCAGAGCCAAACACACAGAAATATAAAATAGGCAACTCTAAAGCCAAAAGTAGCCTAACTCCTTACTGTTTAAACTCTAAAGGCTGGCAGGGCGAGACCTCACTGTGCCATACAGATAAAAAAGCCCATACTTCTTTTAAAAGCGATCTTATGATTTGTGACTAGAAAGAACAGCACATTATTTAGAAAAGTTCCTACTGAAAGGTCAAACTGTTTCTCAAAGGCAGTGATCTTAACAGATGGAGAGTAAAAGACTTCTTTCTCTCTCTCGCCATCCCCAAGGCATAGAGGCTTCTGTTAATGCATTTCCCGGTCCGTAGCTAAACATCATGGGTCATGAGATCTGACCACAGCAGGATAGATAACGTCCTGTCTATACCACCCTTATCTCCTTGAAGTCATTATAAATGGCAGAGAAACGTACTGGGGCAATATAATCAGTCACTGCAACATCACAAAGGTGAACCGTCCAGAATTAAGAAGCCATCGCAGCACCGTGAACCCTAGCCGTGATCCTGGCCACCTCCTCCTCCCGCAAATAAAACAAACTAAGCTTTTACCATGAAATTAATTTTGAAGCTCTGTTCAAGGCTCTACCCACAAGTGCCCTTCCTGAAGTCTTCCTTGTACAACTCTCTCCCAGAACCAGTCACGCTGTACTGTGGTAATTCCCTACTTACATGCATCTCTCACTAGACTGTAAACTGCAGGACAAAAGGGCCCAGCATCTTCTCTAACTCAACCTCTAGCACGCTGCCTGACAGTATAGGAGTTTTTTTTTAAGTTCAATGAAACGGCATTTAGGTAAACAAAATCACTTTCCTTAGTAACTCAGAACCAAGTAATATTCTCCAACATCATGCACTATGTCATGTTCAACCTCGATATGGGACCGATGGTATAGAATACTCTGGTCCATCAGCACATGAAAATGTTTATTTAAGTACTCTTAGAATTTACGAGGAAAGGTCTAGTTGACTAAGGATTTCAGCTCTAGTTGAAATAAAACCAAAACCAAAACCGGTGGGTTGTTTTGTTCTGTTTAGCAGAACCTCAGGCTGATAAACGTAACCACCTGTCATTTGGATTATGTCACTTCTCGAAATTAATGACAAATACCTGACCTACATTATTGCCTAGAGCACAACGGGACTGTGCCTTCGTCTTCTACCGTGTCAGTTTAATTACCTTCTCCGCCCGTCTTAGCTTATGTTCTTACCTGCCACCAGATGGATTGTGCCCAGGATACCAAATATTGGTCTTGTGACAGCTGAAGGAGGAATATCTTTCTTGACTTTAAAAGAAAAAGAAAAGAAAAGAAAAGAAAAATCACAAAGAAAAAGCTCACTGATAGAAAAGGTAATTTAATCTGATTTCAGAAGTTACTTCACAATCAATACTGTGCTAAGGATTCCTAAGCACAATGATTTGTGCTAAGGAAGCAGGAGTCCTTCATCGGTGTTAGACCTCCATGTTGGCAAAATATGAAATCATATGTCCATGTGACATGTAAAGGCCTCTGCTGTCTAGAGGCAGGTGCCCAAAGTAACATGCTTCAGGATCCCCATCAGGTAAATCGTGGGATACTTCTACGGTCATTTTTCGACCAAATTTATTCAACCTCTTGCCAAAAACTTAAGTCCCTGTCTATTTAAGAGAGTTAGAAAGTTAATGGTGGGGGGGGGCATGAATTTAACCTCAACATGAAACTAATGGGAGGCACAGACCTGCCCGTCCGCCTCTACAAATGTGGACGAGACCCAAGGGACAAGGGGACAAGGGAGGAAGGAAACAGGTGCGCAGGGAGGCACCACCATTAACCGTGACTTTACCAATAACGCCCTTATTAGTAAAAGAGCATCTTCGATGATAGGGTTCATTTCATGATTATTCAACTTTCAGCCTGGGTGTTTCACAAAACACACCTGTAGAAGTCTAGGGAACAATGCCCCCGAAGTGGGGAAGGCCGGGCCTCCCCATCAAAGGACTGACTTTGCCACATCCACCTCTCTTCCCTCTGCCAGACTCACACCTCAGGGGCGAACAAAGGAGGCGAGGCCTACAGGGAAACACAGCTGTTCCCAGCTTCCTTCAGGGCCGGCCATGGCGGGGGCTGCCCAATGTTTCCTCCAGTCCTAGTTTAATTACCATCCTAGAACTAACTCATTCTGAGACACCGCTGCCAATCCGTGTCCTGTTATCCTGAACAAAGTAATTCTGAATAAGGTCTGAGATTCACCTCTGTTTCTCTGTGATTCAATTTACTCAGCAGTGCCACAACGACCAAACATGACAAATGGGGCAGTGCACCGAAAAGCTTAGAGAAAATCCTGAATATACAGAGATCATCGGATAAACTTAAGGTACTATTGATTGATGGAGCTCTAAGTTACATTAACTGGAGTACAAAAGCAATAAAACAGGTAATTCGCAAGAATACATGTTAGTTTTTCATGGAGGGAAAAAACAAACAAACCCCTCTTTTCATGGCAATGGTCTGGATTCCCAAAAGTTAAAAAAAGAAAACAAAACAACAGGAAACAACTAGCAGAGCGAGCGTGAGTGAGTCAGCCCCTCATCACCACTGGCTTCAGGCCCAAGTATCTCCTCATGTCTACTGATGACCGCTCGGTGTCCTTCCTACGTCCAAGCTATTCATGACCTTCAGCTTTGACCCCTCAAATGGGTCTGTGGTCTCTACCTACAAAGAAATGTCACTGAAAGGTCAAAAATAATTGAAGGGAGACTGGCTGGCTCAGTCAGTTGTGTATCTCACTCTTGGTTTTAGCTCAGGTCATGATGCCAGGGTCATGGGATCGAGCCCCACATCGGGCTCCATGCTGACTGTGGAGCCTGCTTAAGATTCTCTCTCTCTCTCTCTCTCTCTCTCTCTCTCTCCCTCTCCCCCTCTGCCTCTCTCCCCTGCTCACACTCTCTCAAGAAAGCAGCTACCAGCTAATAGATATAGGTAATGCCAAATTATCAAGCGAAAACGGACCTCTAATTCCATCTGGTCAAAGAAAAACCATGGATGGTACTTATCAAAATAACCAGATAACCAAGGAAATAGAAATTTATGGCCATCTCCTTCTTATACTTTACTATCCTCTGTATTTTCATATTTCACTTTCTCCACTCAAAGGATATATACTGTTTACTGAACGCTTACTCTTTGGTTACTCAAATATCACACTTAAAAAACATACAGAGGACTCTGTCTAGAGGTGAATATTTAAACAACTGAAATATGACATTCTAAATGTGATACCACCTGGTACATTAGTCACCAAAATTATTTCGCATGTAATCAGAAATCAGTGTTCCATACAATCGGGAAAAAAAATTGTTTTCAACACCCCAGAGAACCAAAACCAAAACCAAAACCAAAATATAACTGGAGAGACAGACAAGATATAGACAGACACAGCTTAGGAACACTACTTGCCTAAAATGTAAGTTTTAGTCAGTGACACATATCTAGGCATATATATATATAATTTTCCACTTATTGAATTATCCTCATAGTCATGAATATTTTCAAAATCAGAAGCAGCTGTTAAATTTCCACACACTTAATGTTCAAACAACTTTCTTACACTCACATACCCTAAATCTTACAGCTAGAAAGGAAGTAAGACATCAACAAAACCAATCCTGTTAGAGCACAGAAGAGGGAACGGGTCAAGAGATAATTATGTTTTTAAAGCCTTACAGATGGGAAAATTTTCAAGCCCATTCCTCCTTTTTCATGAAATGGAGGAAGCCTGACATGAATGCATAAAAATCAAACGAGGTGGCAGGGGTTAAAATGTGAGACGCCGCCGCAGCTCCGGCAGCCACACCCCTGTGGCGTTTACTTTAATGACCACACGGGCAACTTCGGTACAAAGTCCTGCCGGCCGCCTCTGCCCCTGGCTGTGAAATACCTGACAGGGTGACTTCTGTGGACACGCGATCGATGACAAGTACGTCATCTGCTCCGTCATCACAAGCTTCCACATAAAATTTTTCAGGTGTGATGTGCCTAAAAAGAAACGTAAAGCCATAAATACCTAAACCAGACAAAATGGAGACTTCTAAAAATAGGAGTACTTTTTAAAAAGCTACTTATTGTAAGAATTTCAGCAGTGCTTACATCCGACATCACACTGATTTCCCGGCTACCGAAGAACAGTTCTGCTGTCCTCACACGTAAGGTGTAACTCTTTTCCCTTGTGTATTACGCTCAGGAGGTTGGGGGGGGGGGGAAACCCCTGCTTGACTCCCACAAGAAAATCATAATAAATTCTGATTTATTATATCCAACACGGTGCAGAATGTAGCACGGTAGTCAGGACCAGTCTACAGAACCAGACTGTGTGCTGTGTGACCTCAGGCAAGTCTGAGGTCTTCCCTCTGTTCTTCGGTTCCCTTATTCATAAAATAGGGATCCTATCAGACAGCAAACAACACTGTGGTGAGGATAAAATGAGCTTCTGTGAGAGGCACTTAGAATAACATCTGACACCTAGCAAGCAAGACGTATTAGCTAAAAATACTAAGAAACACATTAAAAAAATTTTTTTTAATGTTTATTTTTGACAGAGAGAGAGACACAGCATGAGTGGGGGAGGCGCAGAGAGACAGGGGGACACAGAATCCGAAGCAGGCTCCAGGCTCCGAGCCGAACCCGTGAACCGTGAGATCCCGACCTGAGCCAAAGCCGGATGCCTAACCGACTGAGCCACCCAGGCACCCCTTTCCCTTTCCTTTTAAATTCTACTTCCTCTATTCTACTTGCCCTGCCCATGAAAAATCTTATACAAATCCATGCAACCATCACTGACATCGTCTCTCATACACAGATGGTGTGTAAACTATGTGGGATTACAGAAATGCCTCAGTGGTTCAGTTGGTAAAGCATCTAACTCTTGATAGCAACTCAGGTCATGATCTCGCGGTTGTGGGTCTGCGCCCCGCATTGGACTGTGATTCTCTCTCTCGCTCTCCCTGCATCTCCCCTGTTCGCATGCTCCCTCTCTCAAAATAAATAAACATTAAATGGGGTGCCTGGGTGGCTCAGTCGGTTAAGCATCCAACTTCGGCTCAGGTCATGATCTCGAGGTTTGTGAGTTCGAGCCTCGCATCAGGCTCTGTGCTGACAGCTCGGAGCCTGGAGCCTGGAACCTGCTTCGGAGTCTGTGTCTCCCTCTCTCCCTGCCCCTCCCCTGCTCACGGCTCTGACTCTCTCTGACTTTCAATAATAAACATTAAAAAAAAAAATTTATATATAAAAAAAAAAAGCTATGTGGGATTACAGAAACTGTACTGACCATTACTGACTGCAAGTTCTCAACCTTTAAGTAGCCAAACACAACTTACATCCTTTTATACTTCATCTATAACCAACTTTTTAATATTAGGCTAGTTTCCTCCATTGGATGGGGGGGTGGGGGGAAGTTGCTAAGGGAATGAAAATCACTCAATTTTAATACAGATTAAGCAAAATGCAACAAAGAAGACAAATCTGCCTTAAAAACGGCAGTCTTCAACTCAAACGAAATACAGCAGTTCCTTCCTTGGCCTGATGCTGAAGAGCGTTCCAGTGGATGGACATATCACAGCTTCTTTACCCATTCACTTGCCGGTGGACATCTGAGCTGCTTCCGGTTTGGGATATTCACAAAGGTTCCATGAACATCCTACTACAAGTCTAAGGCAGACGTATCCTCCCCTCCGTTTCTCCTGGGTGACTGCCTAGAGGTGGAATGTGGCTGGGTCTCAGGGGAGTTGTGGGTTTGACTCGTACGGAGGGGGCAAGGAAGGCGGTGCCGGCACGAGGAAAACTTTCCAGGGTGAGGGAGGTGTCCGTTATCTTCAGACTGGGGATGGTTTTGTGGGTGTAAAAATACGTCCAAACGGATCAAACTGTACTCCTGAAATATATGGAATTTACTCTATATGTCAGGAAACTTTGTACTTCCAATAAAGCTATTAGAAACAAAACAAAAAAAAAGTGAGAGTCCTGAAACCAACCAACAGGACTATGACAAAGTTCCGGACAATCTACTCACAGGGTAGTCACCTAGTCTTAAATCATCGAAACTAAACCAAACAAAACCAACACACCAGTCGTTACCTGCAGATGTTTTGTGCAAATGTAAGTCGCCCTCTAAGAGTAATTCAAGAACTTTACTGAAGACCTAACCATGTGGTAAGTATTACATAAGCACGAGTGACTAGGATGTGGGTAACAGAGTAAAAATAATAAATAGGAAAAAAATTAATAAAAAAAACAGACCTCAAAAGCAAGACTTCTTTATAAAAGCTTTCAAAGAGGGGCGCCTGGGTGGCTCAGTTGGTTAAGCGTCCGACTTCGGCTCAGGTCATGATCTCACGGTTCGCGAGTTCGAAATCTGCATTGGGCTCTGTGCTGACAGCTCAGAGCCTGGAGCCTGCTTCAGATTCTGTGTCTCCTCCCTCTCTCTGTCCCTCCCCTGCTCTCTCTCTCTCTCTCTCAAAAATAAATAAACATTAGAAAAAGAAGAAAAAAAGCTTTCAAAGAAAGTTCTGTCTGCAAAGCAGATGCCTTTCTGCGGAGCCTCACTCTTAAGAGTCCCCAGTCTCCACACTCTAAACCCTGTGATTGCCCGTGCAGCACGGGTGTTCTACCGCATTCTTTGAGGCTTAAACAGGCTTAGGACCTGAGAGAGCCCGGTGAAATACTTTCATACAATTGCTGGCGCTATCCTGAGACCTCCTGTCCCACCTCCAGTACCTGAGGAACAACAAAGAATCTCTCCTCTGTGGTCTTAACTTTTAAAACAATGATTCCAGCACCGATAAGGAGCAGTCTGTTGCCAATGCTGCCTCCCCATCAAGTGAACTACCTGTGACTTGTTCTCGTCCCAGTAGTGGCAAAGCAACCCCCCAGAAGCACGGTCAGTCAACACACATATGGGGGCCTCGTCGGTATGGGAAATCAAAAACCAGCACTCACATAACTGACCATA